GTGGCCCCTTGAGAAAATGAATTGCCCACCCCTGCCTTAGTGACTACATCCTCATAAATTGTAGTCGGTAGATGAATGATTACAAAATACACAAGGTATCCAGACAACCACCATCCTCCAGCTATAACTATAAAACATAAATATATTTATGAAAACAAAAATACAGGTTTGTTGATATATCTGGCTTAAGACTCAGTGTAAGTGGTCAGTTGATACCCACAAAATTTAGACCTGCCAGAAAAAATGTTTGAGGACACAAAGACCCTCTCGGCGGAGGCTGAGGTTTGGATGTGCTCTCTTGTAAACTGGTTCATTGGTTTATTTATATAAGGTTTTGTTTTTATAGTATTAAATAAATGACATGGTCAGTGACTTTTAACCAACATATTATCTGAAAAACTACTATTCCTAAAGCGGAAGCATACACTAATATTGATTTTTTTTGTTCTGGAAGTCAGCCAATGTAAAGAGCATTTTAAGGAGAACGATATAATTTACTACTGGACATAGCAAGATTTATTTAATTAGGCTGTACTCAGATAAATTATAAAGGGCGAGCTCCAGGAACCACAAGTAAACCATTTGATTTAGACTAAAAGTGATAGATGTTTAAGATATTTAAAATGCTGATTAAATCACTTACAATGGATGCTGCTTCTTGATAGTTACAAGTTTTAGCTTCCTGCACAATCTGCTGATCCCCTGAGTGCTGGCCCTGATATCCTGTTTCCCTGACAGGGTCCTATGGAGCCACCCTTGTGTGCGCTAGTAAGCTTTGTGTCTCCACAAATACACAGTAAGGCAAGTCACTCCCTCACTATCTGCTCTCCACTCCTCCTTCCTTCTTCCCCGCTTTTCCCTTCTCCAAGCTAGTAGATGGACAGCTGCTGGAGACTGCTCTGTCCCTTGTTATCTTGTACTCGATGGGAAGTTCAGGGAAGCCAAGCTGTGCCAGCTGTTTGGAAACATGATGATTGTAAATGGTTGGGCAAACATGTAAAGAAATACTTAGCTGGGTAATGTATATTTGTTTGATCTGGGCTCAATATTGAAAAAAAAAGTTTGAGAGTTTAATACTACTTTAAAGAAACCTATCACAAACTAAAGCAAACCAAACAGAGATATAATAAAAGGTTATTAAAGGAGATCTATGAGGCGTAGTTCTAGCCGACCTGTGACAATGAGACTGTCACAGGTCGGCTCAGTAGATCAGAGAGTGAGCGAACACATAACGGCGTTCGCTCACTTCTCGATCCTGTCACGGCTCTCTGCCGTGACAGGGGAGGGGCTGGATTCCCCCCTCCCCGCTCCGATCCTCCAGCACTGACTGGCGGAACAGACGGGGGAGGGGGCGGGTACAGCTGGCTCTGCCTCTAGATAGGCAGAGCCAGCTGTCACTCACGCAGCTGGGCGGATCCAGACATAATTGTCGGGATCCGCTTCAGCTGCGGCGTCTCAGTATATGCGGTATACTGAGCTTAGGGTGACGGGAGGACGCTAGTTTGTGTCCTCCCATTATCCTATGGAGAACTATGGGGAAAAGCCCTAACCCCATAGTTCTCCATTAAGTAAAAAATGTATGTCGTAACCATAGTTAGATATAAGCTGAAGCTATATTTAAATATCATCTCCCATTTACAGAGCCTCTCTGTTAGTCCTTTATTGTGATGAGTTGCCTTCATGGCCAAGAGAGACGCTCAGGACCAGGCTCAACTTTTACAGGAATTGTCAAGATTCAGCTGCTATGCCTTTGGGTTCACTGATTATTTTGACATTCCATTTTGTTTTTACTAAAGGTAGCCTCTGCTAATGCATTTTACATGATATGTTAAGTATGCCCATGTCTTTATTGAATGTGAATGAATCCAACAATCATGTGATCTAACCTAGCTTTGGGTAACATGGCTCGGGACTCTAGCGCTATGAGTCCTGCTTGTCACAGTTTAGAGCAAAGTTTCTTCTGGTTTTACTCCCTCTAAATTGCCTCTGTAATGCCTGCTTCATTAAATAAAGAGGATCGAACCTAGGTTTGAGTTCATTTTAACTCGTTAGTTGTTCGGTCTTTTCTTATTTGCTTTATTGAGCAAGCGCGTTAGGTTAATTGATATTGCACTGCTTTTGGGGCTACTTTATATTACAGTTAAAACTGTAAACTAAAATCCATATGTACAGGTACCTAATGCTAAAAAATAGTACCTGTTCTCATCTCTGTGTTGTAGTGCAGTGCATTTTGCAACTTTTTTCTGTGTTTCAGAGTGTTGAGAGGCCCTTAGAAGTCAATGGTAATGCATGTTATATGCGTGTTGATGCTTTTTTATGCATTGGCAACAGGTGTTAACAAGTCTTGGTCAATGACTGTCAACTCAGGAATCATATATTGACTCATCACAACGTGCCTGCCTAACTCTACAAGAAAAGCACCTCTACGCACACACAAAGATCTAAATAAAGGAAGGTGGTAGATGATTCAACACACCACATTCCACATACAACTGGTGAACTGACCCTTTGATATGACACTAAACTCAGGAATAAAATCTTGAAATGCATTCAAGTACCATAACTATTAACAAAAATGTATCTTATGTGTGCATCACGCAGCTGTAGATCCTCAAATCATCTCTGAATTTGTGCTGACACTGTCCTTCCTTCTGGAGGGTGGCTACTTTTGTTCCCCATGGTCCATGTGTGTAGTAAAGTAGCCACAGCTCCAAGCTCACTCTTGTGATGCACTATAATCTCAATAGAAATTAGTCAACTAAAAGTGTGATTGCAGTCTATCACGGGAGCGAGCTTGGAATGGTGGCTACCATGCATGGTATTAAATTGTGAAGTTATACAAAGAATTGCAGTATAATCATGTTGTTGTTAACATTCAATCACAAAACCTAAATCTTGCGTGGTGGAAACATTCAGCCAATTCCAAATTGTTTTCTGTGGTTCATGGTCTTTCGGACCCTTTGTAACATGCAATCAACAATAACGTTTTTATTCAGTGGAGCCTGATTTGGCTGGCGGCTTGAATTATGCATTTATCTTTCTGCCAAGATCCAGGGGAAAAAAATACTTTTGAGCTAAAGATGTTCCTTAGTTCCTCATGGTTTCAGAGCAATAAATGTGGAATTAATAAATTCCTCTAATTTAGAACAATATAGCGTTCACTCATTTTATCACCAGGCAGACATACTTAAAGTGACATTAAACCCTCAGATTTTTTAACATAAACCAATACTGTAATGTGTGCCTTACTGTAATCCATGGTAGTTTCCCTTCTCTTTGCTGCTCTTCCTTTTAAATCTGTATCTCTTCTCATGCTGGGCAGAACTTCTGTTGTCACTCTAAACGTATCCTTGTGATATCTGCGTTAAAGAGGAACTTCACTCCCCAGCTGTGTTTTTTTTAAAACCCTTTTCATGCTGGGTTATCTTCAATTGCTCTGTAGTGATCCACTGCTCCACCGTCACACAGCAGGTCCCGCACCGCCATCTTCCTTTATGATGTCATTGGGAGCCGGCTGTCTCTTCCAGGATCAGGCATCTGGACGCCAATGATACGTTCCAGGGTTCATCTTTAAAGATAATTTTAAACAAAACTATTAAGTGTATGTCAGAGGTAATCAGTCAGGACAATATCATGCGTACTACACTTGTCAAAGCTCTCCAATCTACAAAATACAGAACATTTTGGGATCTAAGGCTAAACCTACCTACTTACCTAGGGGGGGAAAAGCCAAGGTCCAAATGGCAGCTCCCACTGTCTCAATATCTTGAAGAAAATTGAAGGGTTGTGGACAGGAAGGTGATAATGTACTGGCTCCGTACTCTCTTTTTCTGCTGCAGCTTGATACTTTATCATGGCATTCACTTTTTGTAGATATTTAAATTTGTCCCACCCATCCACTCACCACAATTGCACTCATTGGCATCAACAATGTTCCAATGCACCATTTGTAAATGATGATTTCTCTAAAAATAAGTGGGTTGCGAAAGGAAAGTATTGGGAAAAATGGAAGAGTTCAGCTTTATTCATCAATGAATCGTATTCATACCAAAACATGCCTTCCAGCTTTCTGAAATGAGAAAGAGGGACACCTTCCAGCACAATTTGTTTAAGCAATGGACACTGCCCTGCTATGCCCCCAGTTATGCAGACCATTAAGAATTTATGTACCAAAAATTATTGGTAAATCCCTATATTGTCTTTTTTTACCATTACCTTTCCTTTACCGGCTTCACAAAAGATAAAATGAGATAATTAAACTGATAATAAAGTCAAAAGGATTATAAGCTACTTCAAATGCTGATTAAATCACTTACAATGGATGCTGCTCCTTGATGGTTACAAATTTCAGCTTCCTGCAGAATCAGCTTGTCTCCTGAGTACTGGCCCTTATGTAGTGTTTTAGGGGGGCTCCTTTCCCTTGCAGGGTCCAATGGAGCAACCCTTATGTGTCTCCACAAACACGTAGACTCAAGAGAGCAAGCTACTCCCCTGCTTCCTGCTACTCCCCTGCTTCCTGCTCCTCCTTCCTGTTTTATTCAAGCCAGATGGACTGCTGCTGGAGACTGTGCTCTCCCTTGTTATCTTGTACGGGACAGGACGTTTAGGGAAGCAGATCTGAGAGAGCTAGAGCCAACTGTAAGGAAACATGATGACTATAAGAGCTTGGAAAAACATTGCGGGTCAATGTATATTTTTTGATCTGGATTCATCACTGAAAAAAGGTTTTAGCATTTAATACTACTTTAGTGGATACGATGAAGGTTTCAGTTCAGAATAACACTTTTGATAGTTAAATAGAACATTTTCATAGATATCTGTACATCAGACCAGAAAGGGGGACAACTGAGGAGGAAAGAGGGATAGACGGGTTTGGTTCCAAATGAGGGACAGTTGGGAGGTATGAAACAATCTGTCTTGAAATTGCTTGAAATAAGGATATATTACTGATAATATCTTAATTTCACTAATAAGTCACATTCTTTTGTTTCCTCTCACAGGCCCTGAGGTTGTGGCTGAGAATGTGCGTGAAGAGGAGGCCTGTTGTGGGGTTTTGCTTCCTGTTTGCATTTTCTTTGGTGCTAATTAACAGTTTTCCTGCATTGCCAGCAGACATAGATGAAAACATTGATTTTCAGAAGAAAATAGAACACAGGAAAGTTGTCCGACACAAACGGCTATGGGCTGACACCATGGACTCCATCCCTAAACTGGTCCAAAGTAATAACCACAGAAGCTGGGAATCTGGTCTGCAGAAATACCACCAAGACTTGCAGATATATAATAACAGTAGCCGCGACTGCAAGGAGAAGAGTAGTTTAGGACAGCTTAGCAAGCAACCACAAAGGAAAAATAACCATTATAAAACCAAAGATAAAAGGTTCATGGCCAAAAAATCTTCACGTACTGTAAGAAATGCTACGGGAATTCAACAAAAAAACATTATTCTAGTAGCCAATGTAAATAAGTTTGTAGAAAAGTTTCCAGATGATCAGAAAGTTATCCTTGCTGGCAAGGATGTCCAAAACCTGAAACAAAGGAACATCTTTCTTAAACCTGTTTTGAGTAAGAATAAGCCATTGCTAAACGCTAAAAGAAAAGTGCACATTGAACTCAAAAACTACTCCCTTGTTCTGCCAGATATGCACAAAATAGATGAACATGCAGTTCCATTAGATAAGTTTCCAACCTCGTGGAAAGCAGACGCTGTGAAGAATGGGGAAAGTGCCAGAGAAAACTTGAGCAGTAAAGCCGTTTTTTTTCAGGATACTTCAACCAAACAAAAAACACATTTGAGATCAGACTGCTACAAATTTCATGCAAAGCCAGCTCAAGTCAAAAGTGAAAGATTCCTGAAAAATGTTCCCCCCTGGTTTTCTTTTGATGATTTGCAGAAGATGAAGTTATTGTCAGATGGTGAGATCATCACAAAGTCCAGGATTCCTGCACATGGACAGGTTCTTAAAGTTGCTTTGTGTCAAAGCCAGCTAGACGGCCGTTGCCAAGGAAAGACTCATTGCACACAGGGGTCCTGTGGATTAATTAAAAGACCCAGTGATTTATATGAAGTGTTAGCATTTCACCTTGATAGGGTGTTAGGACTGAATCGCAGTCTTCCAACTGTGGCTCGGATATTTACAAGTGATAAACTGCCTTATAAGTATACTAATGGTGCTGCAAGGCCTATTGTATGGTGGGATCCAGACATCAAGCACTTAAATGATACCAACAATGACCAGAACTCTCATGATGTAGGCTGGTTATCATATCAGGAAATGCTGAAGCACAGATGTGGCATGGAAAACGCTGTCACGCCTATTGATACTCTACCATGTGTGGGCATCAAGCACACAGAATGGGCTAAGTTGGCTTTCTTTGATTTTCTCCTGCAGGTATGATATTTTATATCTTTTCATATCAGTAACCTATACACATATGCATCCAAAAGGAAAATTTGGAGGACAGTGATCAATGCAGGAAATAGGTGTTGAATAGAATGGTTAAATATAGATGTGTGCCAAATCAAGCATTCATGACCACAAATGTGAACTGCATCATTGGTTCAGCTTGCACTAACAAAAAAAATGTTTGTTTTCATCAGCATCCACACACTGGAAACAAACATTGTTCACCACTTATATACTGTATATGATCAAGGCTTACCATTTAATGAGGCAGCCTGAGGCTGTTACATTAGGCAGCATTTCTTTGGTCATGGGGGGGCAGATGGTGGCATGGCCACTCTGCTGCACAATATTTGCAGTGTGCCTGCCACCCCCTTTTTGGCCAGAGCGTCCCAAGTTGCTAAGAGCCAGGTGGGGAGATGTGTAAGGGCCATACAGATCTCCACACTCAGCTCTTAGCAACCTGGGGCACCCTAGCCGGTGTCCCAACCAGCTCCTGACAATTAGTGATGTCACTGGTTGCCAGGAGCTGGGTGGGATAGCGAGCCCACCAACACCACCTCCCCACGCACCGCAGGGGGCAAAAATGCTAGAGACGGCCCTGTATATGATTGTAAACTGTTCTATTGGTAGCTATTTTGAATTGAGAAATACTGGTTTAATTACTTCTGATTTCACTAGACCAGTTAATCACCCCTCCCGGGCTCTTTCTACACACTGCTCTAACTGCCAGGGGTCAGAATTTTTTTGTGTTTATTAAATTGAAAGATCAGTTATTTAATTTAACTTTAAATGCTTTTCAACAGATATTGCTTTTCAACTTTTGCTGCTTTTCAACAGATATTTACTTTAAAAAGTCAAAAAGCTGCATACTATTTTTTACACAAACCATTTTTTGTGAATTTGTTCCAAAGTTTGCTACCTGTAGATCCTGCCAGCAACAGCACTTCCTGTTGCAGGCTGACAACGCTAAGCCAATGCCTAACAATTGGTAGCAGCCTTGCCAGCCTGCGATACCAGCGGCTTCAGTTTGCCATTGGGCTCCTTATCTGATAGGAAGCCCAATGGCCAAAAAAAAAAAAGAAGCACACAGGGCAGGCTGACAGTGCTAATTAAGAGGTAGTTGCTTAGTGCTGTCAGCCTGTGACAGTAAAAGCTGTTACTGGCAGTATCTCTAGGTAAGAAACTGTGCAACAGATTCACAAAAAATGTGCTTGAAGTGCATGTTAAGGCAAAATGAAAATATAAATATTTCATACATCTCTGTAATACATGCACAGTTTCAGCCCTTAAAACACACTGTAAATACAGAAAAAGACAACACAGTTTTTAATTCCTAAGCATGCCCTGCCTACTTCATTTATGATGCATTGCAAACAAAACAGACCTCTCCTTATCTCCTCCCTCCTCCTTGTCTCCAAAACCCCTTCTTCTGCACAGGAAGAGAGCACAGGAAGTGCTTAAAAGCTAGTAAAACATTGGACTTTTGAGGCATCCCAAAAATTTGACTTGTACAATCATATATCATAAATCAATTCTTGGGGTACCTCAAAAGTCCTATTGCTATGTTTTTAACTTCTTGTCAGTTAATACAGTAAACTTCCCGTTATCGGCATCCACAGGGATTGGTAGAATCCGGATAAATGTAGTTTCTAGTTGCTTGAGAGTAACTATTAGATATAGGTCTAACTAATGCCATACCCCGTATTATACCATACCATAACATAAACTCTGTATTGAATTCATATTAATATTGAAATGCAGTAATCAAAAGCAAATTAAGACAAATAGACACACTTCGAACAAATTAAGACAAATAGGCACACAATCGTTTCCAGGATAATACATGCCACAGATCAACAGAACAGTGAGCATACAGGGGATTTTTTTCTGGTTAGAAGAAAGTTTGGTTAGTTGATAACAGAAAGGTTACTGAATCAGTGGCGGACCTAAGGAACAAAGGGCCCTGGTGCAAGAATTTTTGTTGGGCCCCCCCAAATAAAAAACCCACAAACACAGCGTTCTCCTCCCGCAGCGCTCGGCCGGCTTTCACTTTCTCTCCTCCCCGCTGGGACACAGAGCAGCGCCCAGTGGGGAGGAAAGAAGGCAGGGATGTGCCGCTGTATTGCAGAAAAATTGCACTTTTGGTATTTAGCCAAAAGTGCCATTTTTGGCCGATATGTTTTGGCGTAGTATATTGGTGCGTCCCTAATATATACAGCAATGCAGAATGGCATAGGCTCAAGAGGACTACACATCCCAGCAATAATTTATATAACAATCGCATTTCTGTATAAAGTACTGCTGAGATTTGTAGTCCTCTATAGAGGGTGCCATTCTGCATTGCTGCAACACCTGATCCCTGGAATGACCAACAAGCGCAGACTCCCGTCTCTCACGCTTTCAGAATATGCATACAGAGCGGAGTTAATGGTGGGCTGTGTGGGCTTTCAGGTGGCAGTGCGGAGTTAATGGTGGGCTGTGCGGACTATCAGGTGGCAGTGCGGAGTTAATGGTGGGCTATGTGGACTTTCAGGTGGCAGTGCTGAGTTAATGGTGGGTTGTGCGGACTCTCAGGTGGCAGTGCGGAGTTAATGGTGGGTTGTGCGGACTCTCAGGTGGCAGTGCAGAGTTAATGCTGAGCTGTGTGGACTTTCAGGTGGCAGTGCAGAGTTAATGGTGGGCTGTGTGGACTATCAGGTGGCAGTGTGGAGTTAATGGTGGGCTGTGCGGACTATCAGGTGGCAGTGCGGAGTTAATGGTGGGCTATGTGGACTTTCAGGTGGCAGTGCTGAGTTAATGGTGGGCTGTGCGGACTCTCAGGTGGCAGTGCGGAGTTAATGGTGGGCTATGTGGACTTTCAGGTGGCAGTGCTGAGTTAATGGTGGGCTGTGCGGACTCTCAGGTGGCAGTGCGGAGTTAATAATGGGCTGTGCGGACTCTCAGGTGTCAGTGCGGAGTTAATGGTGGGCTGTGCGGGCTATCAAAAGAACATAAAAAGTGCTCTCGGATGGGGAAGGCTAACTAAAAAACATGCAACCCTGGGAAACAGGAGGAGAACCTGTAAATGCAAAACGACAAAGGAACACAAAGGGCACAAAAACAATGGAGCACTAGCTAACTTGGCAAGACATGGCAGAAAAATAACTGTATTGACACTTACATGTGGATCCAGGGACCAGAGGATGGACAGCCTGTGTGGAGGATCGGGACACCCGTGGTGTGTGTGTGCCCGAATCTGGCTGGTGTACTGCCTGGAGGAGTTAGTCCACGGAAGGAAGGGAGGCTGTGAACGAGGAGAGGGGAAGCAGAGCGGGGACTCAGTCCGTGGTACCGTTGAATGAATTCGGGATCTAGGCAGTGTGGGGGAGACTCAGCCGTGTCGGGTGCAGGCTGGGCTGCTGTGGCCGCGGCTGTAGATGTCCGTGCTCGCTCTCTTTCAGATCGGTCAGATCGGAGATGCTCTCCTCTCCGTAACAACCTCCATCCCGGGTCTGATGCGGGCAGGCCGACGGGAGCTGCGGTGACGGCCGCACGTTAAGTTCGCCCCGCTACGCCACAGATACTGGGGGCCCGCCGGCCGCTGGATACCGATCCGGTGCTATCCGGCGGCCGGCAACTGTGCTGGGCCCCCCCAGGCTGAGGCCCCGGTGCGGTCGCACCGGCTGCACCGGCGGTAGTTCCGCCACTGTACTGAATAAATGTTTGTGGTAGCAGTTTGGGCCTCTTTTTCATTATATGGCTGCTGTTTAAATCAAGAACCCAATTATAGTTGCAGCTTCTGCAATACCTGTAGCTATTGAATCCTGAAATTACTGAAAGAGTGGACTTTATAGTGAAGGTATAAATCTTTCTACAACATGCATTTTTAGATGCACCAACAACGATAGTTGCATCACCATGCCTTTATTTTCCTCTTCTCTAAACTATAGTATCAACATGTGTAGTCAACGTATCTTTTATCTATTTTTATCTGATATACAGTATGTCTTGCAAAGCCTCCACTTCATCAAATCTATGAAGTGGAAGATCAGCACTGGCTTGCATGTGTACATTGAGTATAAACAGGGAGCACATGTTAGTAGTTAGTTAGTTAAGCGTTTCCTGCCAGACTGTTTCCCTACTGAGCTGTACAGCAGTTGTTGAGGTAAACTTTGCGTTCTTTTTGAAGTTGTTTCCCTAGAGGCACTGTTGGATTACTGTTTTTGCTCCTGTAGATAAAAGCAGTTTAAAGATAACTCATCAAAACTCTTTAAAGTAGACCTGCCTTGCATCTTTGACATATGTTGGCTTTATAAAGGTATTGGTAGATACGGTGAAATGGTCATCACAGTTCTGATCATTCTTGCATTTATGGGTTCCATCAGAGGAGATAAAAGCTGTAACTGAAATTTTCTTATTGCGATACTCACTTTTACCAGAGCAGATAATCTACAAAGTGACCTAGAAAGATATCAAATTGCTAAAGAGTGTCTTAGGACCCGGTTCTTGTATGTAGTGGTGTTTCTCCTGTGTTTAGCTGCCCATGCCCACAGCCCAGCTATGCAGTGACTTCATTGGTGGGACTTTAGAGAGATAGGACATGGAGCAGGCATTGACATAAATAAGTACATTGTAGCAATCAGAGCTTGCATATTTATAAAAGATATGTCTAAAAAACGAAAAAGAACACACATCTGACCGCCTTTGAATATCTTTTGCTGATCTTTAAATTAGTGTAAAGCTGGTGATATTCAATACAACCTGTTCTGTGGATAAAATAAAATAATTTCACAATATTGCAGTATGCATGAACATAGACACCTGCCAACCACATGACAACTCCCAACTGAACTCTACACAACTCTCTGACACAAAGGCACTGCATTGTGGGATTGGGTGGAAGGCATGTATAATCTCCAAAATATATACAAAGGAGGCACACTGCTATCCACTGCGATATAAATGCTATGAAATTAATCTATTCATTTTTGGCTATTGGAAATTAC